ATCTTACTGTTGATTGGGCTGTTTCCAGTTTGGGGCAATTAAGAATAATGCTGCTGCTGTAACAGTTTCAACAGCTTCATTGAGATATAATTTATACCACATAAAATAAATGGACTACACAGTTGTGTGGCCCTCCCCACCATCCAGTTTTAGAACACTCCCACCCACCTGGAAGATCCTTCAAGCCTGTTTACAGCCAATTCCACCCACCCTTTAGGCTGCGCTCTAGCTTGCCAGTACTCTTTTCTAGAAATTTCTACAAGCGCATCACAAGTCTTCTGGATCTGGCTTCTTTCACTAGGTACCATGCTTCTGAGGTTCATCTATCTTGTATGTCTACATCGTTTGCTCCTTTGTAGAACTGAGGAGTATTCCATGCTGTGGCTATTCCCATATTTTGTTTACCCATTTGCTACTTGATTGGCAGTTGTATTATTTCCAGGCTTTGGCAATGTGAATAATGCTAAGAAGGCTTGTGGACCAGACAAGACTTTCTCTAGATCTACATTTTCATTTCTCTTGGGTAGGTACATCCATCCTTCCAGCAGCAGGATGATCAGTTCATGTGGCTAACTTATGTTTGACTTGTTTTCTCCCAGTACTTGGGTGGAACCCTGAGCCTTGCATACGCTAGGTAAGTGCTCTAAGCTATACCCCAGTCCTATGTTTACCTTTTAAAATTTATTTCATTTTTGTTTTGAGACAGAGTCTTGCTATGTATCCCAGGTTGGCCTCAAACTCACACTGATCGATCCTCCTGCCTCAGCCTCCCTGGTGCATGAGCCACTAGGCCTTGCTCCTTAACCTTTTAAAACACAATGTAACTGTTTTCTAAACTGGCTATGTCATTTTTTTTTTTTAATCCCCACAAACTTTTTATTCTTTTTTCCCTGCACACAGGGAGGCAAGAGAGGAGCTACAGAGCCAGGACACAGTGAACTCTAAATGGACAGGTCCACGGTGAGGGGGATGAGTAAGACTCCAGTGGGCTGGAGAAACCTCACCCACCAAGTGGTTGTGAGATGCTAGGCATGCGTTCAGCCTCTCCAAACTTCGTTTTCCTTTGTGTGACGTGGTGCTATGCCAGGGCTGTGGGGAGGACTTCGGACATGCTGAGTTACTGTTTAGTGCTCTCTGGAGCTAGGGGCTGGTGAGTTGCTATTATGACTCGTAGCAGTATCCTCAGCCGTTGGACAATCACCCTTCAGCCTGTGAGGCCCAAGCACATTCTGCTTCCATTCAAGTTGGGATACTCCAGAGCTCCAAAAGAAGACCACAGGCTGGAGAGAGAGAGGACTGCTCACACCAGTCTCCACCACTGGGTAAACAAGCCTCCAGGTCACTTCTTGGTGGACTTGGCTTTGTCCAGGCAGCTCCTGCTGTCCCCTCCTGTACCCTGTGTTGCTGGTTGCCCCACCCACCCTCCCCCAGCTGAACTGCGTGAGTCCTAAGAACCTCCAGGTGCATCTGAAGAGGAACAAATCTGGCTCCCGCGTGAGAGGAACCAAGTGTAAGTCTTGAGCTTGCTACTTGTTGGCGACATGAGCCTCGCCCACATCTACAGCACAGGGAAATCCCAGCCCTGCTTCACAGACCAGCTGAGCAGGAAGGGGTGCGGGGTGGGGGTGAAGTTGTGAACCCTCTGGTGTGGCACAATTGTTCCCATCAGCAGAGAGACCTGAGTCCAAGGCAAGGGGGCAAGGGAAGAGATGTCCCCAAAGCTCCAGACCTCGGATCTCTGCATTCTTTTCCAGATCTTACCGGTTGCAACACGCTGGAAACTGTGACAGTGCTATCACCCCTGCCCAAACACAATACTGTAGCCCACCATGCTGAAGCATTATCCAATGCATTGTCTTTATATTACTGTATTTTAATTACAATGAAGTCAGCTACAAAGAATACCCAACTCAAAGTGGCTGAAACCATAAAGATACTCACATTATCTCATGTAACATGCCAGCAATACACCTAAAAAGTCACCAAGGCCACCAGTGTGGCAGCTTTTTCTCCTGAAGATTTGTCACCTTATGGCTGCCACAGCACGATGACCTGAGCTGAGGAAGAGGAGCTTCCTGTCCCACGTGTGTGCATGCTCAGGACCTTCACACTGAGGTGCAACCTGAGCCTTCTCTGTCGTTGTCGTCCATCTAGGCTGGGCTCAAAATTCCAGTCTTGCTCTTCAGCCTCGAAGAGTACCGGGATTCCAGGCACATAATGCTGCGCCTGGCTGCTTTCTTTTTAAATAGAGGAGCAGATTTCTTCCCAGAGTCCCCCTGCAGACATTCACTCACACTTCACCGCAAGGACTGCTCGCCAGCGTCCTCCTTACCCAGTGGTCACAGAGGCAACAGATGCTCCAGCTTGCCTGAACTCTGACCAGAGCGCATTCCCGAAGCTGAGGGAAGGAACCAAAATGAAGCCAGCAGAGCGGGGAACTGCTACAGCTTCACTGGAGCCCCTTCACTCATCAGCAGAAGGAGCTGGGGCCTACAGAAGCTGAGACCCTCACCAAGGCGACATGCATCTTTGAAAACCCAGCTCTGAGGCTCAGCAAGACCCCCTCCTTCCCCACAGGGCATCTTACTGTGACATCATCTAAGCCTCCACAGAACAGGAGCTTATCCAAGGGACTGTGCACCTGGCCACAGCCATGGCATGGACAAAGTTAACACTGTGCAGGTCAGAGGCTCTGTGGGCCCAGCCGCACCTCACTCGCCTGCAAGCCCACAGCTCGGAGTCAAGGCACCGCCAGCCCCAGGCCAAAGCTTGGCGGGTAGACCAGCAGGACCCCGAGCCTGACCAACAGTATCTCTGCAGCTCCCTGGACACCAGCCAAGCTGCCTCATTCTCCAGGGCTGACCTCATGCTTCCGAAGAGCCTCGGGATGCCTGTGTGCAGCCTCCGGTTTCTGTTCTAATGCCGGCAGAAGAAGCTGTCTGTGCAGGGGGAGCACAGGGCCCAAGCAGCCCTCCCCACCAACACCCTGCCCCCAGTCTTCTCCCCCACCAGACAGGCCCACTCCAGGGAAGACTGAGTAACACCCCCAACTACTGAGATGAGCCCCACGCCCACCTATCTTCCTGCCTCCAACAATCTGAGTGTCCCTCCAAGAAACATTCACACTCTGGCCATTTCTGTGTCATGCCAGAGACCTGGAAAGTCAGCAAAAGGCATCAAACTTCATGGGATCTGCTGAGAACATCCATGAAGTCAGTTCCACTGCTTAAAAGAGACATGAAGCACTCACAGCCAGGCTGAGGTTTATTTAACCCAGAGCAGGACAAACACCCACTCTGGCCTGTCCGTGGTCACTTACAGCAAAGTGTAAGTTCCCTGTTCTCCCAGGGAACAGAGACCCGGAACATGCCTGAAGACAAAACAGCACTCTGCTTCCACTTCCAGTGTCAGGCATCTACTTAACACCTGGCAGCGGGCAAGGTGAACAGGCTGGAAGCAGCAGGTGTGGCCCAGGACATCTGCTCCTTCCTCTTCATTCCAGAGGCCCCCTGTGTGATCGCTGTGTCCCACTCACCCTGGCTGCAGGTCTCATACAAGACGTTTATTATACAAGTTCCCCAAAAAAGTATTTTTTTCTCTCTCTCTCTCTCTTCATTATCCACAGGAGCTCAAGATCATAAAGAGAGGGGCGTCTGGGTTTGTTTAGCTCCCTTCCTCTGGCCTCGCGGGTAGAGCAGTCACAGAAGCTAGTGGGTTGAAACTTTCCTTGCTGCAGTTGTCAGAATGGTGCTCCACTCTTCAGAGCTTGCAAGTCTACCTACCTAGAAAGCTGCAGGCTGCAGGGCTGCGTGAAGAATGGAATTTTCCATTTATAGAATAATCATACCACTTTGGGGCTGGCATTCTCGTAGTAGGAGCTCAAGTTCAGTGTCAGCAAACCTGCCAGGCTTCTCCGGGAGCCCCACAGCACTCAAGCTCTTTTATTTATTTTTGGTGGGAGAGGGGGAGGAAATAAAGGATGACTTTTTAACTTGAGTGCCAACACAAACTTGAAAAGGAACTGCATTGGCAAAAGTAGATTTATTACTGCCTGGTCTCAGGTCTTTTATCAAACCACTGGGGTCTAGGAGATGAGAACGGGCCTGAAAAACACGTCTTCAAGCCCTAACCTGACAGGTGGCTGGAAGAGGAATCACTGCACTGCCTCAGATCCCCAGCTGTGCCTGCCAGCCGGCCCTGGACTGCTCCCTCGGGAGCAGTCAGCCCAGCCCATCTCCCCTTCGCTGCTTCCCCACGCTTGGTAATCGAGCTCCAAGAATGTACATCTCACTCTGAAATCTCCTGTGGGCATTAATGTGGTGGAAAGACCACCCAGCCAAGAGTGACCAGGCCCAAGCTGCACCCGGAGATTGTGCAGAGTCCCGCCTCCCATGGCTATTTTTTTTTCTTCTGTTATTAGGGAGCAGTGGGGAGGGGGAAGAGGGTCATACACGGCTGGAAAGTGGCTGCGTGAGCCCTAGTCGCCATCCCGACCTCATCGCCGCACAGGTAGAAGAAGACACAGATCTGGTCACCTGCTCAGTTCCAGAACCCTGCGCTACGGCGAAGGCGGGTCCCACTGGCGGCCCCGCCCCCTCTCGGCGACTTTTCCTCACCTCCCGGCTCTGCGCCCCGCGCACGCCCCCCGCCCGGCCGCCACCAATCAGCACGCGGAGCGGCGCCCGCGGCCCTGGGGTTCTGGTCTGCAGCCAATAAGCGCGGCGGCTCACGGCAGCGCCTTGCCCACCCCCTCGCAAGATGAAAGGCGGCCCACAGCTGGCTAGGCGGGCGCGGCGCGCGGCGCTGGAGCGGCGAGGGCCGGAGCAGGCGCGCTCACTCTCGCCGCCCGCCCTCCTCCGCCCCGCCTCCGCCCGGGCGGGGGAGAGGTGGCCCGGGCGGGGGAGCGCAGGGGGCAGGGCCGCGGCGGCGAGGAGGGGCGCTGGGAGGAGCGCGCCGCATAAAAGGCAGCGAGGCGGCCCCACCCCGCGGCTGGCCGGCGGCAGGCTCGGCGGGCTCCTTCCGTCCGGCCCGTGCGGGCGGCGGGGAGTGGCGCGCGGCCGCAGCCCGCCCATGGAGGCTTTTCCCTGGGCGCCTAGCTCGCCCCGCCGAGGCCGCGCCCCCGCGCCCATGGCGTTCGTGCCTAGCGCCCGCTACGTGAGCTCCCAGAGCCCGGCGCACCCGCAGCCCTTCAGCTCTTGGAACGACTACCTGGGGCTGGCCACGCTCATCACCAAGGCGGTGGACAGCGAGCCGCGCTTCGCCTGCGCCCGCGGCGGAGACGCTGGCGGCGGCAGTTCCCCGCCCTCCTCTTCCTCGTCGTCCTGCTGCTCCCCCCACGCGGGGACCGGACTCGGGACGCTGGGGCCGGCGCTGGGGCCGCCTGACTACGAGGAAGACGACGACGACGACGACGAGGACAGCGACGAGCCGGGGTCCCGGGGCCGCTACTTGGGGGGCGCGCTGGAGCTGCGCGCGGGCCCCGCGGAGGCCAGGATGCTGGAGGAGCGCTTCGCCGAGCTGAACCCGTTCGCGGGTCGCGCCGCGGCGGTACTGCTGGGCTGCGCGCCCGTCGCCACAACCGCCGAGGCAACGCCGCGCGAGGAGCGGGCCCCAGCGTGGGCGTCCGTGCCCCGGCTGCAGGCGGCCTCCGGGGCGGCCGCCGCTCGGCTACTGAAGCCGGAGCTGCAGGTGTGCGTGTTCTGCCGGAACAACAAGGAGGCGGTGGCGCTTTACACCACCCACATCCTTAAGGGCCCCGACGGGCGAGTGCTGTGCCCCGTGCTGCGCCGCTACACGTGCCCCCTGTGCGGCGCCAGCGGCGACAACGCGCACACCATCAAGTACTGCCCGCTCTCCAAAGTGCCGCCGCCACCCGCCGCGCGCCCGCTGCCGCGCAGTGCGAGGGACAGCCTGCCGGGCAAAAAGCTGCGCTGAGCGCCTGGGCTGGGATCTCCTGCGCCTGATACCCCAGGGTCACCGCCAGCTGTTTTGGTCTCAGTCTCCCTCTCGCCGCTGGGGGAGCGAGGACCTCAGGAGCTAGCTCAGCTTGGGAAGCTGTGGTGGTTGGTTTTTTCAGAGGCAGCTGCCTGTGGAGTATTTGCTGTTGAGCAGTTGAGACCGACGCTAACGTTGATTTGTCTTTAGTTTCTAGTTTGCGCACATCCACATGGGCGAAGGCTGGGTGTGTATTTCATTGACTTAAATATGGCAACGGAGAAGTGCTATTTACTGTATACGTCGATCTATTTTAGATGCACATCAGTATGAACTCACTTTAATCTTGGATGTTTTGTTTTACAAATGGAGGCACTTTACTAGGTCTAGAATATTTTTTTAATAGCCTCTAAATTGAGCTGAAGTTGGGAGATTTTACGGAATGTTGGCAAAATGAATTGTTTAATGCAATTATTTTAGTTGTCCTTAGTTACCAGGTTAAGCAAGCCCTTGGTAGCTGCAGCTTTGAGAAGTGAAGGTTTTAGTACACTTTCCATTGTTTGGGTGCGTATTCCCTCCTTGTGGCTTGTTTCTGTCCTAGCTGGAGGTGTGACGTACACAATATGTAGCAAGTAGAACACAGCTCCTAATCGATGTACCAGATCTCTTACAACTAGCAACTAGCCTTTTCCATCTTTAAAAATTGTGCCAAGTCATAAATCGTGTATACACTTTGAAATGGTGCTGTTTTTAAAAAATGTGCATTTATACAGTAACAGTATATGAGCTCATTAATCCCCTTGTAACTACGTGGCATTTTCTCTGCACACTCACTATCCCCCATGTTCAGTTCTTAACAATCATTTGTGATACTAAGCTCACAAGGGAGAAAGGCAAGAAAGCAATGGTAGCTCACCACCAATTGCTCCATTTTAAGGACCCTAAGTAACAGGAGAGCCCATGCTAGGTGTTGCTTCTCAAAATTGGAGATGGGAGCTAATGTAATTAATAATTTATATTCAAGAAGGCCCCACTGTGGCCTGTTTGGCTTCAAGCATATGAGGTACACCAAGATAAAACACTGAAGGAACTGCCCAGTTGGGGGCTGGAGGCAAGGGAGCATTTTTACTGAAGACCCTGGTCTGCTTCTGGAATGCCATTTAAGTTATCTTTAGGGCCAGGGAGATAGCTCAGTAGAATCCTGGCAAGTGCAGGTCCTGAATTCAATCCCTGATACCTCCACCCAAAAAAAGCCTTAGACAAAAGATTCTTAAGACCTGCATTACTTCCCAGCAACCATTTTTAACCCATCATGCTAAATACTATGGTATGTGGCTGCCTACATCAAGACAGGTGGAGACAAAACCAGAATTGAACTAAGAATTCATCAGAAATGTTACAAACACCACTATCTCCAAGTACCAGCAAGAGATTTAGTCTTAAGTATATGTATACAGCTTCTAGGAGGATTTAGCTGGGGGTATTAGGAGTGAAGACTGCTTTAATATTAAACAGCTAACTTCCTCCACAGTACACAGACTTGATAAGAAAAACTCATTTGAAGGTATAACAGAAGTAATTATAAGCCTTTTTGGTCAGAAGATCCATCAGAAGCAAGGGAGGTGATAGACTAGCTCTGTTCTTGGGACGCAAGTGCACACCTGCTAGTCTTACATCCTCAGAGAACTACAGATTTGACTGGGCCTGAGCCTGTTTAGGTGGCCTAATAAAACCACAATACCACTTTTGGGGGGTAGAGACGCCTCTAGAAAACATACTATTCTAGTTTAAACTACCCTTGTCGTGAGGTGAATGTAACTTACTATTACTTCCACTGCTCTGTTCTACTTTTTCAAACAGGTTACTATGAATAAATCAGTGAATTCTTCAGGCCAAAAAGACTAGACAGATAGCAGGATCAATTTCAGCTGTTTTGAAATTTTCTAGATTCAAATTATGGATTGGTCTTGGGATCCAAGGATTATACCATAGGTACCTGATTAAAAAACTTTGCTAATCTGACATCACTATTTTACTAGAAATGGGAACCTTGAGCATGGGGGCTTACTTGTAGTCCTGAATCCCAAATACTGGGTGATTCTGTATCAACCAATCAGAAAGACTCTCACCCTGCCCCATACCAAATTTGCCTCATTTTCCAATATGAAGTTATTACTAATTTTCCCAAGTTTTATGAAAAATGGGCTTAAATGCAAACATTTAAAAATTTCTGGAATTCACTGAGACTTTTGCAAAATTAAATTAGCATAACACACCCCAACGTTTAAAACAAAAAAATAGAAACATAGCAAAATTAAAGGTATAAGACCATGCAGGTATTTTGCTAAGTAACAAGCCAGTATATGAAACCCTCAAAAGGCTCTTTACCAAGGGTGAAGGCCCAGACTGCCTTCATCTGTTTTGTTTCTGTTACTTCCAATGGCGGGCATGTCCCTCCCCCAGTCCTTTTGGAAGATGCAGCAGTATTTGCTTTGATTAGACCAATTTTTCTATTTACTAAACCAAAACTTAAAATTACTCCATAAATCCGCCTAGGGAAAGAATGTGCTCACTGCGGCAGCACACACACTAAAACTGGAACAACACAGGGAAAGAAGTAGGGAGCCGAGGAGATGGCTCAGCAGAATAAGCACATGCCTGGCAAGCATAAGGGCCTGAGTTCAATCCCTGGTTCAGCCAAAAAAAAAAGTTTATTAGTCTCTCAAAGCATGAGTGTTTCCTCCAGTGTCCTATGTATTTCAGTAGCTAAGTATAGTCAAAATGCTTTTGGTAAAAAACACAAATGGTTTTTATCTAACGTGCTACACAAATTTGAGACTGCTGGCAGGCCTAGAGGGATGTTGGGTTTTTTTGGCCCCTTACCTCCACCTTGAGTTCTGTGTGAACAGCAAGTCTCTTCTCATTTAAAAATGCAGAAGTCTTCAAAACATGAGGACTGGGCCGGGGAGATGGCTCAGTAGAATAAGCAGTTGCCTGACAAGCACAAAACATGAGGACCACCCAGTACACCAGTGAGTAGGCTGCTTGTTCAGTTTTAATACTTAAGAGATAACTAGTGAAAGCTGGGACACCTATACAGAAGAAACAAGAGCTGATCACAAAGCAACAGCACCACACTCTTGCCCTCCCCCTATTCTAGGTTCTAACACCCAGGACAGAGAAAACTTGGGAGAACAGAATGTCTGAGAAACAGTTTAAGCAGAAAGGCTGGGTTACAGATTAGCCTTGAAACCCTGAGTACAAGCACAGTCTGGTGACCTGTGATATCATAGTTCTATGCAAATTCCATTTGGCTACTGCTCCAAATAAAGTCTCTGAACTAAAATTTTTCCTTAATGAAAGGCCCTCTCCCACAAAGACCTTTCATAACTTCCACATGTATGAAATGCCAGAACTGAAGAGTTTAAAAATGATTTTATCCTTGGTAACATGAAACAAAACCTCTGACCTTATAGCTAAATCAACTAGAACTCTCACCAAGGTGGTACCTCACACTTGTACATGAAGCTATAGGACAGCACTACCACAAAACAAAGAATTTCATTAATAAATAAAGAGGATGCTCTAGAGGAAGCATCCTAGCTATATTTGCTTTCTGTTACTGTGTTTAGGTTACTTTTATTTGATACTGAACACAGATAAATTTAAGGGCACTGATAAACTTCAAATTGAACTGGATATGCAAACTTACTATGATAAACAAAATGTTTTGTAATCACAAATCAACACTAAAATTCTGTAAGTTTTTTATTTATCACTGAAGAAAGAAAACACAGCAGCAAGTTCTGTGTTGGCTTCAATATGATCAAATAGTTAATCTTTAACATAACTACTACACTCTAAAATTGAAGTCAACACAGTCATTACTACAAATTACTTGTTTTGAATCTATCCTGAAAAGAAAATTAAGAAAAAGTTTAAACCATTTCTCCAAACCACATTTATAAATATTAACATATTTAAAATGCTTGAAAGGCATGAATTTTCCATTAATGGAAAGCAGTTTCTATTGGCAACAACAAAAAACCCTCAGCAATAGTTTACCAAATGTTTTACATGTAAAAGCTGTATTGTTTCAGAGTTTGCACTTGAGCAGTATTGTCATAATAGACTACTAACTGCTTTATACTCCTTTTCTTGAGTAAAATCTACAGAAAATCCCACTGACTCCAATGTTTACTGCACTTATTATAGTGAACCTAAAAACTTTCTAAATTTAGTTAATAGTAAATACCTCAAAATACCTAAAGAAGTTTATGTTTCAATTGCTACTGGTGTGAAAACTGTTTCAGATCCACTGGTTTAGTCTTCAAATACATATTCTTTAATAGAACCTTACCTCGTTCCAAAATTAATACCAGTTATTTCAAAATCAAAAAAATCGTTTTATACCAAGATACAGGTATTACAATACCTGAGGGGTTCACATTTTAAATTTATTTGCTAGTTTTTCCTTTTGTAAACAAATGATTGATGAAATAATGCAACACCTTAAATTCCAGAAAATGGCATGGTTTCCCACCCTCCTGTGGATAGGGTGCATGATCAATCTATTATATAGGATTAATACAAGTTCATGCTTTTTGTGTTATGGTGAAACGTTATAGAATCCAATTTAGATTGGAGTACAAGTATAATAATCCTTGAATGTGATCAAACCTATGCAAGACACAAGAGTTTGAATCCATTATCTTGGGACTCAGCGTCGCACCGTGGTCCACCCATCCTCATCAGTCTCGTTCTTAGTACGACGAAGGGATTCCCGATCTTTATCAGCTCTCCATGAAGCCTTCTCTTTTTCACCTTCTCTTTCTCGGTCTCTTTCTCTGTCTCTGTCTCTTTCTCTTTCTCTATCTCTATCTCTTTCCCTTTCTCGATCTCGGTCTCTTGACAGAGCTGGGGGAGGAACACGACGAGGAGGATCCCGCTCTTCTGCCCGGTCATCTTTCCTGTCATCAGCCCGTCTCCAAGAGCTTACTAAAAAGATCAATTAAGTAAGTTAAGAAATTGTAAGTTCGCACTATGTTCTACTGGCTGGAACTAATTACAACTGAAGTTAACCTCTGCCTCAAATTTACTCAAAAATCCTTTGCTTCATAACACAGAATACAAAATCACAACTAAATTCTTAAATAACTAAACTACTAAAACAACAAAACCTATACATTTAAATTATATAGTTCCTGAAAACACCTTTTAACACATTCGTGATGGGGCTATAATTCCTGTCACTGCCAGGTGCCTCTGATTTCAATTTGCCAGCTTGAGATACTACTGATACATGCATGGTTTCTGAAAAAATGGGTGCTACTGCGGCTGTATTAAAAGCAAATGTGTTAGGACATTTTATGCACTGTCCACAAATCAGACACTTCTAGGTATAAAGACATTAATGAATATAAAATAATGAAAAATAATATTTACCTAGTAATTTTTAACTGATATGATACTATTAGCATTTACATCTGGGCAGTAAGAATCCAAATTCAAGCAACTAACTACATTATAGACATTTATTGTATTAATAAAAAGACCAATGAAAGTGATTAGACCTATTTACACTACCAACTATACAAGCCACCCAATGGGATAATCACACATGTACAATCAGTGGACTCAAGCTGGTGGGAACATGTTATTTTAACATGTTGTTTTTATCATTTTAATACATAGGCTTACATGTAACTCAAAATTTGAAAATAAGGACCCGCCGGATAGCTCAGCAGACTAAAGCGCCTGCTTAGAGCACAGCTGCCAGGGTTTGATCCTTGGAGTGCCGAGGCAGCCCTACACACCCTGATTGAGACTGGACACAGTGGCGGCACGCCTGTAATCCAGCATTTGGGAGGCTCTAAACAGGGGCATCAAGGCAGGGAGATGGCTCAGTGGAAGCACTTCCCTGGCAAGCACAAGGGCCTGAGATCAATCCCCATTTCTGAAAAAAAAAAAAAGGAGAATCACTGAGTCCAATCTACATATTGAGATCCTGTACTTAAAAAAAAAATATAGGAAATATTCTAACAGCTATAAAATCTTTAGAACTAGGGTACAAAAATCTAGCCAAATGAAAAAATTTAAACTAAAGTGTGGTGTCACATCTGTAATCTTAGCAGCTCTGAGGAAGCTGAGGCTGAAGGATCACCCTGAGTTTGAAGCTAGCTTGGGATAGTGAGATCAAGGTTAGACTGAACTACACAGCCTCAAAAGCAAAAATTAAAAGGGTTTTTGCTCTTGTTGAATCTGTTTTTTGTTTGTTTGTTTTTGGGGGTGTCATGTTGTTTCAGGTGGTCTTGAACTATCTAGCTCAGGATAGCCTTGAACTCACTGATTCTCCTGCCTCAGCCTTCTGAGTACTGAAATTACAGGTATGTGTCACCATGCCCAGCTCAAATAGGACTAATCATTAAGTACAATAGACATTTTTACATATACTAAAATTATTTTTTGGTTAAGTTTCAACTATTGTGATTTTAGAGAAAAAACACTGATGTGTTTTTTTGCTAGGACCTTATTGTTTTATTGGCTTTTTTGAGACAGGGTCTCACTGTTTAGGCTGTCACTGAACTTACAATGTAGCCAACCTTTCCCTGAACTCTGAAGCAATTCTCCTACCTCAGCCTCCAGAGTGCTAGACTTACAGGCATGTGCCACCACTGCTGACTAGAACCTTACTTCTAGTGTGTTTTGTTTAATTTTGAGACAGGACCTCACTATGTATTTCTAGGCTGGCCTCAAATGCTCAGTGATCCCCCTCCCCTGCCTCAGCCTCCCAAAAGCTGGGATTACAGGCATGTGCCACCATACCCTGCAGACCTTATTTTTAAATAACAAATAGGCCAGGGAGATGACTCAGTGGAATAAGCACTTGCCTGGCAAGGCAAGGGCCCGAGTTCAATCCCCAGTTCTGACAAATAAATAAATAAATAAATTATTTATGGGGCCAGGGAGATGGCTCAGTGGAATAAGCGCTTCCCTGGCAAGTGCAAGGGCCTGAGTTCAATCCTTGGTTCCACCAAAAATAATAAATAAAAAATAAACTGCCTTCATTTTCACTAAAATTTATCAATGTTACTACCCAATTTAGTCTATTACTATACTTTGAATTTATAGATGAGCTCACTTCAAGCTTGACCACAAATTTTAAACTGAAAAAGTACTATTATTTTTGCTATTCCAACAAATTCACAAATACACAAAGGCATTGTATTCTCTAGTACACTGGCCGCTGAAAACTACCTTCATCACGTTCCGATCTGAGAGGCGGGCCTCTCCGGTCTCGGTCATCCCTTGGGTCTCGCCGTTCTCTTAAATCACGCCGATCATCTCTCTCCCGACGACGGTCATCTCGATCCCTATCATCTCGGCGACCTGAATCTCTCCAGCTCGAAGATTCTTCAGCTGGTCCTCTTCTCCAACCACCTTCATCCCTGTAGCCATTTAAAAAATTAAGTTCTAGCTACTGGTACACTAGACAGCTAATTTTAAGTGAATACATCATTCCAAGTCAGTATTTAGAGTTTACAAATGTAACAGGAAACAAAGTTTAAACTCAGCACTTGACACTAATTTGATGCCTCAGTCACTATGTAGCAAGCAAATGACACCTAGATTTCTGTTGTTCCACATGGCAGCCACAACCCACATGGATGCTACCTAAATTTAACTAAAATAAAATCAAGAGTTCCCAAGAGCATTCAAAGTACCCAAAAGCTAAATGTGACTGCTGGCTACTACTCTGGATAGTACAGATACAGAACAAATTCATCCTTGCAAGAAATCGTAATGGGCAGTGCCGATCGAGATTTATCAGTGCAAGTCCACTTGGACAAAATTACCAAGCTGTAACTTTTTTTTTAAATTATTTATTTTTATTTATTACATTTATTTATTGTGTGTGTGTGTGTGTGTGTGTGTGTGTGTGTGTGTGGCCAGC